GGCCGTCTTGGGGCGGAAGGCTCGGATTGTCGGTTGAAGCTCCCCCTCTTGGGCCCGTCTTGGGGCCGTCTTGGGGCCCTCTTGGGCCGTCTTGGGGGCCTCTTGGGCCGTCTTGGCGCCCTCTTGGGCCGACTTGGGCGCCTCTTGGGGGCCTCTTGGGCCGTCTTGGGGCGGTCTTGGGGTGCTCTTGGGCCGTCTTCAACGCCGTAACGGCCGACAAGTCGTATATGATGAAAATGTACGTCTTCCCATCGGGATTTGATGATTTTCGGCTCGTCGGCCCTTCTGAGGACTGTTCTTGGAGGCCTCTTGGGCCGTCTTGGAGGCCTCTTGGCTTTTCTTGGGGCCATCTTGGGCGTCTTGGAGCGCTCGTTTGGGCCGTCTTGGGGCGGAAGGCTCGGATTGTCGGTTCAAGCTCCCCCTCTTGGGCCCGTCTTGGGGCCCTCTTGGGCCGTCTTGGGGGCCTCTTGGGCCGTCTTGGTGCCCTCTTGGGCCGACTTGGGCGCCTCTTGGGGCCTCTTGGGCCGTCTTGGGGCGGTCTTGGGGTGCTCTTGGCCCGTCTTCAACGCCGTAACGGCCGACAAGTCGTATATGATGAAAATGTACGTCTTCCCATCGGGATTTGATGATTTTCGGCTCTTCGGCCCTTCTGAGGACTGTTCTTGGAGGCCTCTTGGGCCGTCTTGGAGGCCTCTTGGCTCGTCTTGGGGCCATCTTGGGCGTCTTGGAGCGCTTGTTTGGCGCTTCGGGGCCCTCGTGGGCCGTCTTGGAGACGTCTTGGGGCCTTCTTGGCCCGTTTTGAGCTCCTTTTGGATCCAAAAGAGCCCGTGGTTCGCTCGGGCCGGGCCCGGGGGGGGGGGGTCGAATCGTCGGTTTGGGGTCCCATGGGGGGGGTTAGGGGGGGGAACTATCTCACACGCCTAGAGACCCACAAGGGGTCGGCGGATTTTAGATCCAGCGCCATGGGGAAAATGAAGATTGGGCGGCCCTGCGCCTTCTGCCGCAGGCGTTGTGGTGTGCGCAGGCGCTGTGGTTCACGCAGGCAGCGTGGTGCACCCCAGCGTTGTGTTGCACACGGCTGCTGCGGTGTACACAGGCGCTGTGGTGTGCGCGAGCGCCGAGGTGCACGCCAGCACTGTGGTGTACACTGGCGTTGCGCTGCACGCGACTGTTGTGGTGTACGAAGGCGATGTGGTGTACGCAGGCGGTGTGGTGCACGCGTGTAGAATCTTCAGGCGATCCATTTTTCATAGGGGCTTTAAACCATGAATATAAAATTGTTGTTTTCTGTGGAATCCACAGGCGCCCCACTTTCCATTCGGATTCTTTTATCAAGCACCGGTTTTTTGTGGAATCCACAGGCGCTCCGCTTTCCATAACGTTTTTTGTCCTCAACCCTCCTTGGTTGGGTATTCGTTTTGAATAAAGCACTGCGGTCTCCAGTCCTCCTCCTCCTCCCGCCTCTCGCCTCTCGCTTTCCTCTTGTCTCCTCTTGTCGTGTGCGTACCTCGTGTGTGTGTGTGTGTGTGCATCCTGGCTGCGGTACCTCTTGTGTGTGACGCTGTCGCCACTTTCGAGGGCTGCTGTTGGGTCCAGCGGAGTGAGGCACCGAGGGGACCTGAGCGAGACCTCGCCGTTCCTGGGGGCTGCGATCTGCGACATCGTCGCCACTTTCGAGGGCTGCTGGTGGGTCCTGCGGAGCGAGGCACCGCGTGGACCTGAGCGAGACTTCGCCGTCCCTGGGGGGGAGGGGGGGGCTGCGATCTGCGACACAGTCGCCAGTTTCGAGGGCTGCCGGTGGGTCTGCGATCTGCGACACTGTCGCCACTTTCGAGGGCTGCTGGTGGGTTCTGCGGAGTGAGGCACCGCGTGGGCCTGAGCGAGACCTCACCGTCCCTGGGGGGCTGCGATCTGCGACATCTTCGCCACTGTCGAGGTCTGCTGAACCTGCGGCGCAATACCGCGGGGACCTGAGCGAGACCTCGCCGTCCCTCGGGGGCTGCGATCTGCGACATCGTCGCCACTTTCGAGGGCTGCTGGTGGGTCCTGCGGAGTGAGGCACCGCGGGAACCTGAGCGAGACCTCGCCGTCCTGGGGGGGCTCCGATCTGCGACATCGTCGCCACTTTCGAGGGCTGCTGGTGGGTCCAGCGGAGTGAGGCACCGCGGTGACCTGAACGAGACCTCGCCATCACTGGGGGGGGCTGCGATCTGCGACATCGTCGCCACTTTTGAAGGCTGCTGGTGGGTCCAGCGGAGTGAGGCACCGCGAGCACCTGAGGGAGACCTCGCCGTCCCTGGGGGGCTGCGATCTGCAACATCTTCGCCACTTTCGAGGGCTGCTGTTGGGTCCAGCGGAGTGAGGCACCGCGGGGACCTGAGCGAGACCTCGCCGTCCCTGGGGGGGGGGGGGGGGGGGGGCTGCGATCTGCGACATCGTCGCCACTTTCGAAGGCTGCTGGTGGGTCCAGAGAAGTGAGGCACCGCGGGGACCTGAGCGAGACCTCGCTGTCCCTAGGGGGGCTGCGATCTGCGACACTGTCGCCACTTTCGAGGGCTGCTGTTGGGTCCAGCGGAGTGAGGCAGCGAGGGGACCTGAGCGAGACCTCGCCGTTCCTGGGGGGGCTGCGATCTGCGACACAGTCGCCACTTTCGAGGACTGCTGTTGGGTCCAGCGGAGTGAGGCACCGCGGGGACCTGAGCGAGACCTCGCCGTCCTTGGGGGGGCTCCGATCTGCGACACCGTCGCCAGTTTCGAGGGCTGCTGCTGGGTCCTGCGGGCTGAGGCTTCGCGGGACCTGAGCGAGACCTCGCCGTCCCTGGGGGGGGCTGCGATCTGCGACACAGTCGCCACTTTCGAGGGCTGCTGGTGGGTCCAGCGTATTGATGCACCGAGGGGACCTGAGCGAGACCTCGCCGTCCCTGGGGGCTCTGGAGAGCTGCCGTGGGATACGTTAGGCGCAACGGGCGCATGGCACAGCCAACGGTGGTGGTTTGTGAAACAGACCATCTGCCGGGCGATGGCCATAACGTTGCGCCTGCACGTACCCCGCGGGGGCTCTCAAGAGCTGCTGTGGGATACGTTGGGTGCAACGGGCGCATGGCACAGCCAACGGGGGTGATTTGGTATTACGTGGCCATTATATCTTGATCGGGGGCCTGCGAGCCTTCCGAATGATGCTCGCAGAATCACATGCGTCCCTGTTACGTCATCGCCCCCGGTTTAGCAAACCTGACGTACTTATGCCCCGCATTGCGCAAGGGTTGGGTATGTCGCCAAGGTACTTTTGCATTCTAAGTACATAGTTCGTGCATCTGGAAGCGATCCATTTTCCATCGGGTTCCCTTTGTAAGAATCCTATTGCAAGCAATTGCTGTCTGTAGAATCCAGGGGCGCTTCACTTCTCACTGAGATTTCAAAATCTTGTGTTCAATGTTAGTTTTCTTTGGAATCCTGAGGTGATCCAGTTTCACGGTGCTGGCGTTCTGGTGCGCGCAGGCATTGCGGTGTACGCGGGCGTTGTTGCGCACACGGCTGCTGCAGTATACAAAGGCGTTGCGGTGTGCATAGGCGACGTGGTGCTGCAGTGCACGCGGCTGTTGTGGTGTATGGAGGCACCGTGGTGTGTACGCAGGTGGCGCTGTGTTGCACGCAAGCATTGGTCATTGTCGTGTACACATGGAGTGCGCTGCACACACACACACACGATTGATGCGCTGGTGGCGCGGACGCACCCTGGCTGGCGCACGCCGCGCCACCGTTACCGTTACCTTCCCGTCCGACCCCCCTTTCCCCGTGTAGCGGCCGTTACCCGGGAAAGGAAAAAAAGGCCGCTTGTCCTGTCTATTTCTTGAAGCAGGCGCTTGGTCTGGCATGCCGCAGGCGCACGCGACTATCAGGTAACATTTTCGGCTGGGATTGCCGGGGTGCTCCTCTTCCAGCAGTTTCTCGATGCGCCTCACGTCGTTAGGTGGGACTGCTAGGGGGTTATGCCTCCAGCAGCTCGATGCGCCCGTAATTAACCTCTTTGGCTAGGATCGTCAGGGTCTCTCCGCCTCGTGCACGTGCTGGATGCACCTTGTAAATACGTTGGAGGTCCTGGTTGATTTTCTTTGTCTTTCCCAGGGTCCGAGTTGAGCCTCAAATGGCCGTTCATATGTAGTCCCCTTCTGGTCATCGCATTGCCCCGCTCAGCACCACGTCCAAAACGTATTGTCCACTAGATGCAGATCATGGTGAGTGGACAAATCAGCGGCGCCATTGGGAAGCACCTAGCGCTCGCCCTCGCTGTGCCCAACGGTTGCCCCGACCTTGTGTGTCAGCCGCGATGGGCGTTTGCGACCACCGTGCGATCCAGGGTGGTGACACCAGGAAGCCAGGCCCCCTGACGGGGCTGAGACGCCCCAAAACCATCTCTTCAAGACTCCTGTCTTCTCGTTGTCGTCGTCCTCCTTCTCCGTCCCCTCCTCCTCGGCAAGAGGGTGAGGAGGATATTAACGGCAGGAAGAGTCCAGGGAGGGGTGGTGGTGGTGCTGGGTTGGAGGGAGGGCGGGCCCACCTTCGCACTGGGCGCCGCGTCTGTCTGCCCAATTCCTGAGGCTTATTATTATGATGTCATTGTTTTTGTTTTCTCTCTCTCTCTCTCTCCCTCTTTCTCTTGTTGTTCTCTCTCTCTCTCTCTTTCGTCATCCTAGTCTTGATCTTTTCGAATGGCTTTACGTGATTACTGGCGGAGCTTAGAAGCGAGTTAGGTCGACTGCGACACTGCGTTCTGAGGCTTTGGGCTTGTCTCGTTTTCCTTGTTATCGTCGATTGTAAGCCCTTCATTACACCAATCAGAACTCTTGAAGACATGAACTTCCGTGGCCTCCATGCTTCGCTTGTGAAGAACAAGAGTCTGGACCTGGCCCTGGGCGTTTCTTGAAGCTACTTTCCTGAACTCTTCAGCAGGGATGCGGCCCTTCGTTGCCCGAGGGGGCAGCCTGCCCAAGCTCCCCGAGGTCTTCCACAGCCCCAACGACTGGATCTGCGAGGCGGCCAGGGGCGCGCGCGCGGGGCCGGGTCGGCAGCAATAAACGAGGCCCCCTCCTCCCGAGCTCGGCCTGCTCCCTGCACCTGCGAAGGCGGCGGCGGCGGCCGTTCGGCGGCGTGCTCCGAGCCCTACCCTCGCCGACCCACGATGCAGGCAACTCGAGGGGCGGCGGGCGTACGGTCGACCCGCGCAGCAATGATGAGCAACGTTCAAGGTCACCCTCGCATCCTTCCCCTTCGGCCCATCCCCGAAGAAGCTGGGCGGGCGCCGCCGCATCGCGAAGATGCCCATGCTGGTGCGCTACTGGGAGACCCTCCGCTACCCCCTCGTGGCTGAGTGGCTGGCCACCGTAGTGCGGACTGGGATTGGACGCGCGCCGGGGGGTCTTCGGAGCAGGCGGTGTGGCAGCACCTCCTAGAGGAGGAGGCGACGGACTTGTTTGAGGGCCCGGAGGGGCAAGCAGTTGCCACCATCCTTTTCGACCTGGTCAAGTGCTTCGAGCGGGTTCAGCTGAAGCACGTCTGGGCCTGGGGCGTTCGATGGGGCTTCCCTCGTCGCGTGCTGCGCATGCTGCTGGTCAGCCACTCCGCTGTCCGGACTATCGCGGTGGAGGGAGCGCACAGCAGGACGGTGCAGGTGATCTCCGCGATCGTCCCCGACAGCCGGTTCGCAATAGCTGCCCTGCACCTCGTCCTCCTCGAGCCCTGCGACGCCCTGGCGTCGCGCTGGCCGCAGCTCGGCCTGGGGAAGTACGTGGACGACATCACCGTGCGGGCCCGGGGCAACGCGCGGCAGGTGGTGGACGACATGGCCGACGGCGCGCAGTGGTTCGTGCGCACCGTGGAGTCCACGTCGCAGCTGGAGGTCAGCATGGACCAGGGGGAGGTGCCGGGAAAATCGGTAGGCCTCGCCACTTCCGCTTGGGTGGGCCATAGGCTCGGCATCCACATGGAGCAGCAGGCGAGCCAGCTTGGCATCGACAGGAAGGGCTGGAAAGGCCGCGGTCTGGAGGCGGCGAGGGCGCGCCGCCGCCTGTCGAGCCGGCGCCCGGCTCGCGATCGCCCTCAGCGTGCTGGTCGCTTTCGAGTGCTCGCTGAACGCCGGCGCTTGGTCGTCAAGGCCAAGCGGTGGGGGGCCAGGGTGCTGTTGGTGTCCAAGGTGGGCCTCCTGCCAGCAGCCATCCTATGGGCACAGGGCAATTGGCCTCACTCCCCAGGAGGTCGCACAACTCCGGAGCAACGTGAACGCAGCGCTTCCAGGTCGTTCGAGGCATCGTTCGACGACGCTCAGGCTGGCGTGCTTCGGCGAGGACCCTGGCCCCGCCCTCACGTCAGCTCCGATCGCAGCCTGGGCCGAGCACGTGTGGGACCACCCAGGCCCGTCTTCCACCATGTCGGAGGCCTGGAAGCGGCAGCAGATCCGGCTGCTGCACGACGAGTCGCAGTCAGCTCGGATGGGGCCCGCCTTCTCGTGCGTGCTGGCTGCTCGTCGCTTGGGATGGACGTGGCCGTCCTGGCGCACTTTCGTGAGCAGGGAGGGCCACATCATCGACTTGGCCGCGGTGTGTCCCCGGGATGTCCAGGCCATGGCGGAGCGCGACGCGGAGCTGCAGCAGTGGGAGGCGTAGGTCGCCGAGGACAGTGGTCGGGCGGCGTTTGCTCCTGCCCCCTTTGCCGAGGCCCTCCAGAAGTGGTTCCGGCGTTGGCAGCGCCGTTGGTGCGCAGGTGCGTCTGCTGCTGCCCGGAGCGTCTCCGCTGGGGCGTGGACGCAGAGCAGGGCTTGGCAAGCAGGAGCCGCGACGTTGCCTTGGTGCCAGCTTTGCTTAGCTGACGGGCGCGAGTTTGCCGGCACGCCGAAGCACCGTTGGGCCTGCTGCCCTGGTCTGCGGCGCCACCGGGAGGCGCTCCCGCCGCGCTGGCAGCACATGATGGCCACCAGCAGCGACCGATGGCTGTGGGACCGGGCGCTGCTCCCTCATCCAGGTCTTCGCCGACCCTTCCAGGCCCAGGCCCTCGAGGAGCATTGGGAAGGGGAGGACTGCTACCTCACGGGGGACGTCGGCACCGATGGCAGCTTGAAGGGGCGCTGGAAGTGGCTCGGCCCAGGGGGCTGGGCAGCCGTGATGATGGACCCCGAGGGCGCCGTCGTTCAAGTGGCAGCGTGGGGACCGCTGCCTCAGAGCTTGCCCGTGCACCGGAACATTGACCGGGCCGAGTTGCAGGCCATCGAGCGCGCCCTGGCGCATGCCCTCCCACCGCTGGTCCTGCATGTCGACAGGCAGTCTGTCCTCGATGGAGTGGCCGCTGGTGAGCGGTGGTGCACCGCCTCGCGTCGCCCGAACGCAGACCTGTGGCGACAAGTATGGGCGAGGCTGCGGGACATCGGTCTGGGCCCCAACGGCGTGCAGTTCCGCAAGGTGAAGGCCCATCGTTCCGCGGCCGTTGTGGCGACGCTGGATTGCGAACAGCAGCGCATCGCCCAGGTGAACAAGGCGGCGGACGAGCGCGCGGGCCGCGGAGCTGAATGCGGCACCAACGTCATGCTGCAGTATGTCGACGAGGCCTGCCACGCAGCAGCGGAGAAGATCCACTACGTGTTGAACTACCAGGCGGAGCTCACCACGCGGGTCTTGTACGAGCACTCCCGGTGGCCTGATGTCCAGGAGCTGCCGAAGTCTCGCCAGGGCGCCCCGCCCTCAATCCAGCTCGTGCCCGACCCGGCTCAGGCACACGACATTCAGCGTCGGCCGGGTGGCCGGTGGGAGTGCGTGAGATGCCACCGCCGGGCGCCGCTGCAAGTGCTGCGGGACGAATGCTGCAGAGGGCACATCGCCGCGAACCTCCCCATAGTGTTCACGACGGCCGGCGCTGTCTCCAACGGCCATCGACTGTGGAGGACGTCGACGTGGATCTGGCGCCAGCGATGCGGCCAGCACGCACAGCGCACACGCACAGCGGCCAGCACGCACAGCGATGCGGCCAGCACGCACAGCGATGCGGCCTCCGTGGCGAGTGCCTTGGCCGCCCCGGGCAGCCGTGGCGCCTGGTGAACCTGCGCGCGGGGAGGGAGCCGAATGCCCACGTCGCCGATCCTCCGGTGGGGGTTCCAGCCCCCCTCACCGAGGCAGAATGGGAAGAATGGCGGGCGCGGCGCGGGTGAGCGGGCCGCCGCGCGGGGGCTGAGGGTGCCGACATAGTGTAACTATGCCGGCGTGCAGGCGGCTCTGTCACACCGTGACCTGCCGTCGCTAATCTGCGCCGACCCGCTTCCGCCGGCCGCGCCCCGCTCGCAAAGTGTCGGCATGGCTTTCCAAGGCCCTTGCATCCTTACCGCGCATCCTTACTATACGGGCTGACTGTAGGGTTCGGAAGTCGCGGAGCGCAGCGGAATCCGAGCCCTGCCCCCGCCCACCATCGATGCAGGAGACTCGGTGGTTGGTGGGGGTAGGGTTCGGATATCGCCACCTGGCCGTCGTGCTGCCGCGCGCATCCACGGCGGGGGGTGTTCTTCCTTGGTTGGGGAGCCGGTATGGCCACACTGCAGCGAGGCACCTCGCCGCGGGCACCGCACGGCCGCAGCGGCACCTGTCCGGGGCTCCTCGGCAGGGCTCTCGAGCTGCCCCCTCGGCGCTCCTCTGCATGGACCCCTCGTGGCCTCTGGGGGGCCTTTGGCAAGGCATCGCTCGGACGTTTGCATTCTCGGCGAGGACCACCGAGGAGCATCCTGGATCACCGAGCAAGAGAACTTTCCCCGTCGCAGCGCGGCGGAGACAATCCGCACGCGCGTCCGAGCGACACTGGGGCGCGGCGTCGCGAATTAGCCCACATGTACGAGGGGAGGAGAAGATGAGGAGGCGCCCGCGGGAGGGGGGGGTGCTCGGGGGCGCACTCACGCAGCGGGGCTGACGTGGGTGTGTAGGCGCGGCCTGGCTGAGGGTCCAAGCTGGCAGCGGCTGCGGGTCGGCCTCGCAGCGCACCCGGGGTGGGAAGCCAGCCGCCACAGTGCGGGCGTGACCCAGCAAGACAGGGAGTGGGGGCGGCGGCGGCTGAAAACCAGGTGGGCGGCGGAGGGGGGGTGGCAGTGGCGCGGAGCCGGCGGCCAGACAAGACACGCGCGGGACCGAACAATGCACGGGGAATGGACGTCCAACCGACGGCGAGTTGGTGGCATTACCTTCTGGGGGCCTTTTCCCTCCTCCGCGGCCGCCCTCCGTTGTTCCACTTGTCTAGCGTGCCTCTGCCCAGCGCGGCCCGCTGGCTGACCGACCGCGTTCGCGTGTGCGCCTTCGCCGCTGGCCAAAGCAGCGTCTATTCGTGGGGTCTTCTTTGGGGTCTCCGGGCCTGGGCCTGGCCTCCGGTGGGCCGGGTTTGGAGGAGGTGTCGGCCCACTCTTCGGGGTAAATTGCTCTCCTGGATCCCAGCAGCGCCCCTAGAGGCCGAAGTTGAAGAGAACACCAGTCCGCCAGAGACCTGGGGGGGCATCTTGGGGCGATAACTTCGGGGCACCGTGGGCCGTCTTGAGGCCCCTTTTGGTGGGTCTGGGGGGCAAGCGCCGTCCAGCGCCGCGCAAAGGCTGGCAAGAGGCAGAAGTGTGGGCCCTCCAGCGGGGCAGGGCACACGCTGCGAAGAAGAAGCCGGACTCGGCGGCGCGCAGAAGGGGGCGGTGAGACGGGGGGGCGGCCATCGGAGTCCTGGAGGCCTCTTGGAAGTCAACAAAAGAGGCCTGCTAAAAAGCCACCCTGCCTTCCCAGAGAGGCCCCTCCCCCCTCGCCTGGCCTTCGCGCCGCCAAGAAAGGCCACCCCCCAAGGGCGCGAAGGTACTTGCGCTTTGGCTGGGCTGCCGTTCTCCACGGCGGTGGCGCCGAACTTTGCGCAACCCGACTCATGAGGGAGTTGGTTAACCTTGAGAGCATGGGGCTACCCCCATTGGCAGGACCAGCACCGCCCCCGAACGATGGCGAACCCTTATGACGCCGCGCTGACGTACGAGGGGAACCATCTAGGGGCCAGACCCGTAGCGGGCATTTCGGCCTTTATTGGTACCCTTCCCCTGACGTTGAGCTCTCTTTGGAGCCACTACTAAGGGGATGGGAGGACGTTCCGAGCCAGAATAGCTTTCAAAGCCTGTTGTGCGAAAGGAATCCCGAATTACGGCTCTAGCCACTAAACTTGCCAATCGCCCACTACCACCAGCAATCCCCTACTCAGGACTCTGCTCGATCTTGTTTCCAACCAAGGATGCCTCGCTGCATCCCGCTCCAATGGGCCCTTGGGGCCTGAACGGATCAACTGCTCTGCTCCGACGAAGATGATGGGAAGGTGGTTCTGAATTACGCGAAGGATCGCGGGGATAATGAAATGTCGACGATGATACTGATTTTGTGTTTGGTGATGGGGGTCCTGGTCATGATCATAATGAGATTTGCGATGATGATGATTATGATTGTGATTCTGATGCTGATGATGATGATGACGATGATACTGATGATGCTGACGATGATGCTGATTATGATGGTGGTGATGGTTATTATGATGCTGATGATGCTGATGATGACGATGTTGGCGATGACGATGATAATGATTGTGATGGTGATGATGCCGGTGATTATGACGATGCTGATGAGCAAGACGTGGACGACTATGACGTCGACGACCAAGATGACGACGAGGACAACGATGGTGATGGTGAAGATGAAGCTGAGGATCAGGATCATGGTGCCGATGCTGCTGATCATGATGATGTTTCGACGATGGAGATTATCGTGATGATGGTGAAGACTATGATTATGACGATGATGATGTTGATGATGCAGGTTATGAGCATGGTGATGGTGTTTGTGATGGTCATGATGATGACGATTATGCTGCTCTCGATGATGATGGCGGTGGTGATGATGAAGATGATGATGGTGATGGATGATTATGATGACGATGACGATGATGATACTGATGATCCGTAAGGGCTTCGCCCCATGCTGCCGGCCCCCTGTCTCGAATAATGGGGGATGCAAAAGGTAAATCATGAGGTCTGGGCGCCGCCGTGAAGCAGTGTCGGGACCTGTTTGTTTTTCGACCCTGACCCTACGGATCTGCGTCAGGGGTGCCACCGAATTTCAGAAATGCGGCAAATCCCATGAGTTTTTGGACCCGGACCTCGCCGATCTGCGTGAGGGGTGCCGCCAAATTTCAGAAATGTGGCAAATCCCATGTGTTTTTGGACCCTGACTGTGTCGATCCGCGTGAGGGGTGCCACCCAATTGTTAGAAATGTTCAGGATCCCTTGGGTTTTCGGACCCTGACCCCCGCGATCTGCGTGAGGGGTGCCACCGAATTTCAGAAATGCGGCAAATCCCATGTGTTTTTGGACCCTGACCTCGCCGATCTGCGTGAGGGGTGCCGCCGAATTTCAGAAATGTGGCAAATCCCATGTGTTTTTGGACCCTGACCCCGCCGATCTGCGTGAGGGGTGCCGCCGAATTTCAGAAATGTGGCAAATCCCATGTGTTTTTGGACCCTGACCCCGCCGATCTGCGTGAGGGGTGTAAATTTTCATCCACCCCAGCAATTCAGACAACGTGCCAATTCTGCCCGTTTGGGCCTCCCCCCCTTCGCGCAGTCCACCAACAAGGAACAGTAAGCAGCAAGAAGCAGAACTGTAACAGTGGAGACTGGAAGTTGCAACTGGTACAGGAAACTGCGAACCTTCGGCCTACAGCCTGGTGGCCCCACAAGAGGGCCGGCGGATTATGATGATGATGATGATGATGACGATGACGATGGCGATGATGATAATGATGATGATGATGATGATGATGATGATGATGATGATGATGATGATGATGATGATGATGATGGTGATGATGATGATGATGATGTGGATGATGATGTTGATGATGATGATGATGTTGGTGACGATGGTGATGCTGATGATGATGATGATTATGAGGATGATGATGGTGATGCTGCTGATGATGATGGTGATGATGATGACGATGATGATGATGGTGATGATGATGATGATGATGGTGGTGGTGGTGGTGATCCGTAAAGGCTTCGCCCCCTGCCGCCGGCCCCCTCTCTATCAGAATGGGATACATCAGAGCTATATTGGGATGTCTGGGCACAGTCTTGTCTTGATGACACTCGGGAACGTCATGCTAGGGCGGCTGGCGATGGGCAAAACAGATTGAGATTCTGAAATCATTATTGAACGCTTTGTTGTCGTCTTAAAGTATTTTCCTCCAGTTGTTCATTTGGGGACATTGCAGTTTTCCTGTTCAGGAGAAGGAGTGTCGCCTTTGGGCAGCCTCCGTGAGGTGGATTCGTAGCCTGGGGGTGCGCATCCAGCGTAATTTACGAGGGATCGTGGCATCGAGGGCGCGAACGAGGCATAATGTACATGGGATCGTGGCCTGGGGGGCGCGAATTTAGCGTAATTCACTCGGGATCGCGTGGCCTCGGGGGCGCGACTGCGGCGTAATTTACAAGGGATCGTGGCTTCGGAGGCGCTCATGTGGCGTAATTTGCAAGAGGTCGTGGCCTCGGGTGCGCGAATGTGGTGTAATTTGCGAGGGGTCGTGGCCTCGGGGGCGCGAACGTGGTGTAATTTACGGGGGATCGTGGCCTGGGGGGCGCGAGCGTGAAGCCCACCGCTGAATTTTCAAGAAACGGCGGGAGGGGGCAAAACAATACCAGCGGAGCACATACACCAATCTAGAAAATTGTCGTTTTTCTGCTCTGGAGAGGGGGGGCGCCTTTTCGGCAGCCTCCACGTGGCGGATTCGTGGCCTCGGGGGCGCGCCCGCGGCGCAATTTACAAGGGTTCGTCGCGTCGGGGGCGCGAACGTGGTGTAATTTGCAATGGCTTCTGGCGTCGGTGGCGCGAACGCGGGCTAATTTACAAAGGATCGTGGCCTCGGGGGCGCGAATGTGGGGTAATTTTCGAAGGGGTTCTGGCGTCGGGGGCGCGAATGTGGTGTAATTTACAAAAAGGGTCGTGGCCTCGGGGGCGCCAATTTGATGTAATTGACGAGGGGTCGTGGCCTCGGGGGCGAGAACGTGGTGTAATTTACGAGGGATCGTGGCCTGGGGGGCGCGAGTGTGGAGCCCACCGCTGAATTTTCAAGAAACGGTTGGGGGGCAAAACAATACCAGTGGAGCACAGATCCCAATACAGAAAATTGACGTTTTTCTGCTCTGGAGAGGGGGTGCGCCTTTTCGGCAGCCTCCACGGGGCGGATTCGTGGCCTCGGGGGCGCGCCCGCTGCGCAATGTA